TAAAAAAATGATTTTGAATTCATAAAGGCTAAGATATTAAAATTCACAAAATGAATGGTCTAGATTTGTTTTTGGAGGGGACTCATTTTGACTATATCTATGATTCAAATTGAACTTTTTTTTTTGGAAGGGGGCGGGGGATATTGATTATTGAGATTAAGAGGGTGTGTGTGCAAAAGTTGGGGTCACACCAAATATGGTTTTCTAGAAATGTCGTTGCATTATACTATAATACAAGCATTGTATTGGATCATTGCTCAATTTTAAAAAATACACTCTTTTCATTCTAATGAACAATCACAAAAAAAGGAAATTTTGAAAACACAACCTAAAAAATATTTTTTTAACCCAATTAATACAGGCCATCCATTTTGATAAGATGCTTAGATCTAGGCTTTAAAATGATTTTTTATCATTCAATTTTTTTAGATGGCTTTATTATCATTAGATGAACAGTGTTAAAGAAGAAAAAAATGATTTTGAATTTGTAAAGGCTAAGATCTTAAAATTCACCAAACGAATGGTTTAGATTCGTTGTTGGAGGGGGACTCATTTTGACGATATCTAGGGTTAAAATCAAACTTTTTTTTTTTTGAGATTCCTTATTGAGATGAAAAGAGTGTGTGTGTAAAATTTTGGATCATACAAATACTACAAACATGGTTTTTAAGAAGTGTAGTTACATTATACAAGGATACATGAGTCGCATGAAATCACTGCCCCTATCAACCATACCTGTTGACACTTGTAAGTTTGAACCTGAGGGTACAGTGCACTTTCACATTACTTATGTCCACTGGTTTCCTTCCATAAACTTCACAACCAATGATTCAAAACGCGACCAAACTTGGAAAGGATCTGATCTCGAATTATCGTTTCTGACTCCTAGCGATTCCCTACTTTTGATAGGGCAACATTTTACGAAGAAGTTAAAAAATCAAAACAGAAAACTAAGAGACTTGTGGGGTTTTTCAGCCCTGAATCCAGTCCGAATTATGGAGTCAGAATCAGGCAATTCTTGAGTAATTGAACACCCATTAGTCATACCTAGTAATAGCTATTTTACATAGTAATCATAACCTACTATATCCACATCAAGCAACAAGAACAAATATCAGAACAAGTAGACGAATTCAATGAATATCTCCAAAGGAGTAATTTTCGACACTATCAGCATACTTCCAATTAGATAGCAGCACGTCCTACTGATGATCTTCATCTTCAGCCCACCAACAACTACAAGCCTTCCTTTCGTCTAAATTTCCTACAGAGTTTACTTTTGGCACAAAATGTACATAACCAAATCCATAGACATAATAAAAATGTGCCCCAAATACACGACCTAAAAGAAACATATGAGATTATTCGCTTGATTTGACCAATTTTTTTCTAAGAATAAAGATATCGACATGCTTTAAGCCAGTGTTTGAAAAATCGAACTGGCCTCGAAAACCTTCCAAGGATCAGATCCGAGCAACCGACAAACCGACTGGTTCAACTGGCCTAACTGGACAGGTCTTGGCTGGTCCCAAAAAAGTTAAAAAAATATAAACAAAATCTAAAAATAACATGAAAAATATATTTAAAACATGATTAAACAAAGCACATCCAAATGAAGTTGATAAGTAATAACAAAAAATAGAATTTTAAAAATCAATTTGTGCCCAATCGTATTTTTTAATTTTTTCAAAAACAATGAAAAAATGTAAAAATAAGTATTCATGACCAAAACACTTTCCATTTCCAATCTTCTCCAACATGATAAAAGACATTCGAAACATTACAAATAAATCCCTTATTTTTTGGGATTTTACATATTTTTTTATTTTTTTTAAATACCCAACCGGACCACCAAAACCGGACCGGCCAGTGCCCAGCTCCGGTTTGACCAGCCGGTTTAGAGTTGGACCGGCCGAGTTTGCAAAGACCGCTCGAGACCACTACCAATTTGATGAACACAAAAACTTCTGGAGTCTTGAAACAATATTATGATTGCCTTAATCAGAATCTCAAAAGCATAACAAACGAGGCTCCAAAAACGCCCCATGATCAGAAGTTCACCCCCCAATTCTCTAGTATGTTTGGTGAAGGAGCTTTCTCTTGCTACCAACCTACACTTTCTTGATCCTAAATCAGACAATGTAAGCCCAACTACAAGATTACAGGGAGTCTGATAACGATCTTTGTGAATGCACCAGTGATCAAATTCCCAATGGTAGTAGAGGTATAATTTCCCTCTCCAGTTCCATCAAGATATGTTCACATAAAGCACCAAATCTTGTTGCATATGGAGAATATGCAAGGGTTGATCATTTCTGAACAGCCCCTAGTTTTAATTTTGCGCTTCTCTTTGGTTATCTGCATAATAAATGTTCACTACAAAAATTTAAACAACAGTGTCAGAACCATGAGCCATAAACAGCCACACCAAGAAAATAACCCATAGGGAGCCCAAAACCTGTGAACCATCCAACCAAAATGTGAACAACCAATCTTTCAACCGAGAAAAGAGAGGGGAAAAAAGGAGTAATCAACAAGCAACAATAAACGATTTTACTTTAACCAACTGGTCAGCCAGACAAAGGAATCGGAGCAAAACTTGGTAATGTCTCTATTGAATCAATGTTTTTACACCTACCAAATAACAAGGGCGAAGTTTGCATGAGGTTCCCACCTTACACTATACAAGTAAAGCGCACCTCTAAATTTTGTCAGAAGATATCCCTCTGATGTTGATGATGAAAACCTTACGGTGGCTTGAAAATCCATGTTCAACCATAATTATGAAATTTAATTAAAAAACGGTACATATCGAGCAGTTCTATAAAAAAAATCTTGAAAATAGATGGTTCAAATAAGTTGTTACAAGTTGCATTATTTTTAAGACTTGTGATTCTTTTTTGTTTTTTTTTTTTCTTTATATCCATACATCTAGAGGTCGAGATGATCAATTAGAAGGTTTCCAATTTCAAAACTCTTTTCTAGATTTCTGAGGTGCACCTTACTTCCATAATGTAAAGTTGCAACCTTACATAAACTTTTTCCAATGACAAAGTATGAATTAAAAGAAATAATCATTATCATCCAAACCTTATCCCAAGTTGGTTACATGAAATCTTGTTCCACCATTCTTCTCTATCATATAAGATAATATGAGCATTATGTTAGTACAAAGCCAATTCAAAGAATCACTCATATGGTTAATCAAAAAATCATGGTATCTTTTTCTTTTAGACAAATAAAAAGTATGGAACAACATATAAGTATTTAATGTTACATCAGTAAGAAATTTTAGCCGGCAAGAAGGTCAACCCTTTTCAAACAAGCAAAATCCTGGGAAAAGCAACATAGCCAAAATGCATCATCTCCACCTAGAGTGAAATTTCCAAACACCAAAGCACCTAATTCATCAATCCAAAAATTGAACTAATGAGGCTGGTCTTGACAGAGCTGATGATGCGTAGTAGTTATCTGAAGAGAGGAGGAAGCACTGCATGGGCATCTAAATCCAAGGCCTCTGGGTTCCTGAAATAATATGCATCTCAAAACCAACTACTTTTGAAGAATATATCATCATAAGCACCAGAACAAGCAAACATGCATGCATGGATGCATCTGTCCAAACATCCACCCATATATACATAAATGCATACATAGCATACATCATATCATATTTCCGTTGCAGGACTTTCAAATCGTCTTTGTCCATCTCTAAATCAATGGGAGAAGAATTATTCGCAACTCAAGAAAAATCTTCAAATCAAATCCCATTCCAAGATTGACACTGGACCATCGAATTGATGGGCAATCAGATCTAGGGTTTAACATCTCAGAATATCTTTTTCTTTTTTGGAAATTATCACAGGTAAATCAATGATGTTTTGAAAATTTATAGGTCACAAAAGTCCCCTAACTAGTAGTTTGGTCACCAGATCAGTGTAAAATACGGTCCCCCTAAAGCACCTCATACACACATATATCCAAGGGTCCATGTAATTCGGACCACAAAATTAATGCAAAATGAGGCACAGACTAGAACAGGAAAATGCACATGAAGAGACAAATACGGGGGAAACAGCTATGCAGAGGAGAAAAGGGAAGGGCATAGTCTCTTACCTACACAAGGTTAGCCCCTTCTCAGTTGAACTGGAAATAAACCATAGTTTGCGCAACACAGATGACTCAAACTGAACGAAAAAACCATCAGTCTGCCCATGTTTCCACTTTCTGGAACCTTGCCCTTTCCAAACCTGTAAATGAAATTCAGAAAAGACATCTGTTAATTCTCAAAAAAAAAAAAAAGTAAAGGCATCTCTTCAGATACACCAACCTATAAAACAAAAAAATGCTAGATGCAAACCCTTGAGCCCTTAATTATTTAGAAAGCTTTAGGATGCTCCTCCTCATGCAGAGAACTTTAGGATGCTCCTCCTCCTCGAACTTTAGAAAACTTTAGGATACAGAGATTCCCAAAGACCAGATATTAAAAAAAAAAAACATTTCTAACTCACAGGAAATTTATTGTATACATAATTGGAGTTAAAAAATCAAATACAGCAAAGCACACCGTATGAATATATTTAAAACGATAAAAATAATAATGAAAAGGCACCTGAGGAAAGGAAATAATGCTCTTTGGCACAACTAAACAAGCAGCCTTAGAAAATGTGTCCACAGCATACTGCCTTAGAAATGAAGCACAGCTCGTCACGGTGTCTGGGGATTCAAATGCCTGACAAAATAAGGAACTCAATTCTCAGAATTATAACAAGTTTAACAACCTAAAAATGTAGGCCTCATGAGTACTTAGTGGTCAAGTGGATACACATTAACATTTTAACTTTCTAAAATTTAGCCAACTAGTGAAAATAAACAGTGTTTTTTGCATGTAACACAAATTCAGTCTGCAATATCAATTTTTATGAAAGTGTTATGTTTTTAGCTAAGCAATTTCTGTGGAAGACGCATTTTACAAATACAAGAAGTTCTATAAAAATCATTTTTCTTACATTGAATCATAGGAAACAACTTGGATTGCTAAGCATATCGATGGATGCATCGCTTCTGATATACGGAAGTCACAGCCAAAACAAGTCGAATAACGATTAAAGTCCATGGTTGTAAAAGCACATGTGAACAAAGGAAATGCAATAAATATGCAGAGGCATCAATTTCTAGTCGACTGGTGAGGAGCAACCAAAAAAACCAGTGAGCAAATAATATTGAACACATTGGTCAGTGAAAGAAAAAAGAACTGTATAGAGTAGTTCACACATTTTATGTTATGCGTGCCATCTAGTGTTTGGAAACCCAGATCAACCTGGCGAATCTGTCGCCCAGGAAATCGGTCTGAATTAGCGATCCATGATCCACATTGGTGGATCAGCCAATACAGGTTGATCTTGCCTTAAAAAAATTTCAAAAAATTGTTAAAATTTCACAAAAATCAAGCTCCTTAAGATTCCCAAAAATGGTGTATTGCATAATGGTTTTTCATTATTTTACTCAAAAAATACATTCTCTAAGAACCCATTTCATGCATGAGTGTTTATTGACCATTACATTCATTTCACAGTCAAAATGAAGTTTTAAATTCTACTCATTGCAATAAAATGGATCTATAAGAGTATAGGATTATCAAGAACTTATATTGTTATTATTTATCAATATGGTGATTTGAAATTCGAGTTATTTCACGGAATGGCACTAGTATATATTGAGCTCCCCGACTACAACAGTCTTTCCATAAGCATGGAAATAGTCACAAGTTACTAGCTTGTAAGCAATGGAGTCTCAAGATTTTGCACAATTTTCTGTGGGGGAATAAATGATCTGGATTGATTTGGCTACTGCAAATACGAATGACAAATGTTGCTTGTTTTCTAGTAAAAGATGCTGTTTTATATACAAAAGGCTTATATGATATTTTATGTAAGCTTTTGTATAAATGTTACCAGCTTATAAGCATTTGGATAAAGCCCTTATATAAAAGATTCTACATAAAACTTTTATATAAGCATTTGTATAAATATTACTAGTTTATACAAAAGCTTTATATAATAATTGAGTCAATACTTGTATAAATGTATATACAAGCCATAGAGCGAAAGCTATTGACCGAAAGCAAGAGAAGAACTTTGGTCAATAGCTAGTACAAAAGCGTCATGTAAAATAGCTTTTATATACAAGCCCTGCCCTACCTCATTCATTTATACCAAAAAATGAATGAGGTAGGCCATAAATGAATGAGGTAGGCCATTGCCCTACCTCATCGATTTATACAAGCACCACTATGTTTCAATTTTCAATTATACAGTGGAATTGTCCAATTAAAGCCCAAGTAATTTCATCTTTACAGAAATTGAATACATTTAGAAAAACTCCAGTTCCAGGCAGAGAGAAGTTCAGTTGCACTCTTCCAAAAGGAAATTGATCATCCATCGAGCAGAACGCCCGCCCCTCCTAGAGAAAAAGACTGAGATCAGCATATGAATCCCCAAAGACTGGTCTTGGTCACCAGATGCTGGTGCATCAAACTACACCCCCTACAACTAAAACTTTCAATGAACAACTCAGTTTAGTGGCTTTTGTTTCTTTATGACACCCAGTGAACTACAAAAAGTCAAAGTGGCCTGGGTAAAGAAAGGCAAGGCTTTCAGTGAACAACTCAGTCTGGTTTTTAATCATTTATTATTAAAAATTCATAAGCTTAGCATGAGGGAGGAAAAAGAAATCATAGTAACTTGGTCCCGGGCATCTACCATTATACCACAAAACTTCCAATTACATAAATCAATGGTTCCAACCGCATAGGGCATTTCCCATTGATTCCACAGGATCCATCAGTTCAGGGCCATTAATTGGTTCAGGGTCAACAACTGTCAATTGCTCCTTGCTTGCCTACTCGAATGTTGCTTCAATCGATGATGGTGCACCCATTGAGGAGAAAGAAACCTCCTCTTTATTTTATTTTGGGGGTGGGAGAGTAGTGGCTAGGCCTTTCTTAATGAAAGGGTCAGGATCAGATGAAGATCTCGATCTCGATCTTGACAGATTCCAATTACCAAGCTCTGAACCTCAATCACTCAATTCAGGCCTATTCCATGAGATCGGGGAGGTATCTTTAATATTGACATTTGAGGTACACCCGAAGAAAAGTGAGTTTTAATAGTTAGGTGTGCAATGTCCCAAGTTTGAATCCTACAGTTGGACAACCCAAAAAAAAAAGTAAAACACAAAGACTGGAACTAGAGGTTTGATTGAGGGAGAAGGAGAAGAACAGAATTTATGAGAATGATGAAATGTATGTGAGAGAGAGAGGGATAGCTAGCTTAGGCCCCTATGTAAAGGCCATTGCCCTACCTCATTCATTTATATTATAAATGATACTAGTTTATATGATTCAACAAAAATATACATAATTACCATAGAATAAGAAAAATATACAACTTTCGCCAAACCCGTGTAAAAGAGATGGGTTGTATTACGTAGGCAGCTAACGTAAAATTTTGCCAAAACTTTCCTTTCCACATATTCCTTGATGATCCACGTTGCAACTTGCAAAGTACCAAGCGGCATCGCATTTTAAAAGATGATAGAAATAGAAAACAATAGAAGTTTCAAATAGAAAACAATGGAAGTTTCATACCTTATCCACATTTACTATAGGTGCAGGGTCATTGGGTCGTGCCTTTTCTTTATCAAACAGAAAAATGACCCTTGCGTCCACCTTTGAAGATTCATGCCATGATTTTACTGCTGCCTCCATGATATCAACAATGAAAGAAAATATCTCTTCTGAACATTGCTTAGTACCAAACTTCTGATCCTGAAGTAGATGGTTCAGTTACTTGATAGAAAAATGCTGCTGCACGTATTTGGTTAATATGGCAATTATAATTTATGGTAGGTGTAGTGGACATTCTTTCTACTTCTCAATCACAAAACTAGTACTTCTCAAAACAGGCAGTGTGGAAATAGGTATCCTTTGAAATCTGATACAAGATCTTTCCATCATATTGATTCCTCTATACAAAAGCAATAACCTCTCAAATTTCATAATCAATACTAAAATTACTTAAAAACGAAATAGAATCGGTTCTGAGAGGGAAGTTTATAGTACATATTACGTTGCAAAAAATACGAGAAAATGATAAATGTATAAAAAACTTTATGAAATTGCCCCAAACAAGTTGAGTTCAATAAGAACTCACTTGAATCGATTCCAATTCACTAGAGTTATTATGATGTATGAATTATGTTTAGTATTTAAAATTGGAAGTTCAATTGAAGATGACCAGGTTAAGGGTCTCAAATTTCCTAAAGCTAAATTTTCTTTTGCAATTGCTCAAAACTGAAACCCCTCCAAATCAGTACAAAAAGGGACTGTCAAGGATATCAGTTTGGAATTATTATTGTATCAACAACCAATCAACACATAACCACAGATTTGTCGGAGATAGCTATAACAAACAAGATACTTATAACCAATGTTGTCATATTGGCTTGGGGGCCAATAAACTAGTGGTTCTGGGGCTTATTCTTCTAATAATGATGGCCCAATTTGAGCTACTTGTAGACTTTAAGTTATATGTCGATAGCAACTGTGTTTCAACAAGTAAATATGAACCATCTTCCATTCTAGCAAGAGCTAATCAAAGCTGTCCTCTTTAATTCTTGGTTCTCCCATGGATGGATATGAACGATTCTCCCAATGAAGTCTACATTATGACATAACTCAACACTACGGCATTTCTTATGCTTAATTACAGTAAGACCTCCCCCTGTCATTAGCAGTGGTATGGTGCGTCAAAGGAAGAGGAGAAGGAGAAGTAAGAGCTGAGGAAGAGAAGCACGCCAGGTGATTCAGGGAAACTCTTTATAAATAAAAACAAAAAACAAAAAATAAAAGGTTTTTGGAAGAACGAACAAAGAATTTGGCCAAGCCAGGTCAAAGCAGGCCCTGCTTTTATTTGGACAGTCCTTTGCTTTTGGTTTGGAGAAGGAATGGTAGATCGCTAGTTATCATTTATTTGTAGAAGCAGTCATTCCAAAATCCTTTCCATGTTCAATTAGATGAAAAAAATTTCAACTACAGCATGTACAGAGTTGTGTCCACACGAAGCAAAAACACATGAAAGATAAGATGAACATTAAAATTGATCCACATGTGTTCTTTACCGGAATATTTTGCCAATGGTATGACAATAAGATCCACAATTATCAAATATAGATGTGATGGATGTAATTTCCTAATGGATTCCACAACTTAAATATGTTCAAAGAAATAAACATATCAAGAGAGAGAGAAAAAAAGACGAAGAAATTTGAGTTTCTTATCTTTACCTGCGCCTGTACCGTGTGCATAGTTAAAGTTATTATTAGTTTTTGCCCCTTCTCAAGATATTGAAAATGCACAAGTAGTTGAAGGGCCTTTCTTTGCCATTTTTAATTATTTTCCTTATCAATCCCCATCATTTACTAATCAAACTTTACTATTTTGTATAGATTCCACATTTGAGAACTTAGATTAATGAGAAAGAACTTAATCACCAGGGACAACTTTTTGCCAGAAGTCCATACTGTTTTACACCACCTATATGGCCTTTGGTCCCAAAAATAGCCACCAACCAAGTCGAGCTTAAAAAGAGGCCCCAATAGCATAAGACATGAGGTTTGAAAATCAAAGGCTGTAACATAAAAACCAAGCTAACCTATCCTAAAAGAGGCCACTCTTGTATCTTATCCCGCAAGGCTCTGGGTCCAGAATTAATTACAGATTTGGACATATTGGTATATAGATCTTTTGCTGTTTTACCTTTTACTGGAATGCAACTTGTCTAGAGATTTTTAACATCATATGAACTGCAATACAATATGTAATATGTTGTTACCTTAGATCAACAATAAGTCACACGATAGAAAAGGAAAATTCATATTACCCATAATTCCCCGCATTACCAAAACCAACAATACTAAAAAAGAGAGCTTACCAGTTCAGATTTCAAGGGTTCCAAAAACTTTGACATGTCAACTTTGGACCTCATGTTCTGCCTTTCTTGGGTTCGTTTCTTGTCTTTAGCCAACTGAGTTAACCTCTTAATCTTATTTGCCACCTCCTTACTCTGTGGATTGTGCTGCAATGACTCTCGAAAGGCAATTACTGCCTAAAATGCAAATAAAATACTGAAACATTAAGTAAGTGAAAAACTGGAAATTCAATGCAAACTATGAAATAATCACTAGAAATATAAATTTGAACCTACGTCATCATATCGTTCCATTGCCTCTAACACGCAGCCTTTCCTGAAATAACCCTAGAAATAGATCAAGTCAAACATTTTTCACAGATTAGCAGCTGCATCACAAAATAGTCCTATGTATAATATAGCAATACAGGTTCTGTATTTGTCTATTTAATGTCATAATGGGCCTAAATTACGATCAATCTCTCAAATACCTTATCCCACAGTGGATTCAACTTGATGGTTGTTTCAGCATCGACAAGGGCTTTATTGAGCTTGACAAGGTTCAGAAAAGCTGCAGATCGGTTACTGTCAAATATAGAAATTGAGAGAGTAATAAGTTTAACAGGTCAGGACTCGAATTGAAATAAAGAAAAGGAATTCTCTAAATCTACTCTAAATCGATACCTCTTTTCGTTTTCAAAGTCATAACAATATCAAAGGTCATATATACAAGTATTATTACATCGGACTCAGAAACCATCCTTGCGTCAGATTTCAAAAGCTACAAACAATGACCAAAAGGGCACATAAGCAATAGACTTTGAAACCAAATAAAAAACTTTTCTTCAAAGTTAACCCCAACAAAACCCTGCTTCTCCTTGTCAAAAATTACAAACTCATTTCTCTGCTACTTCACATTATGATTGAGAATAAAATTGAATAACATATGATCTTATGCCTCCATTACAGCAAAGTTTTGCAACTAATAAGGGTTTAAGATTCTCTTTTACATTCTTCCCAGTTCAACTAACTTGTCGTCAACATTACCAAAATAAGCAAAAGTAGATGATTATATGAATTTTATGTCAAGAAACTCAACAATACTAAGTGCCCAAACTAAAAGTTAAGCTAAGACTCAATATAGGCACCCAATATAGAAATTAGATTACAAGCTCTACAGTACTTGAAGCCATGAATATTCTAAAATAAAGATAAAACTACAGTAACCACCATATTTCTTCTTCTTCTTTTTTCTTTTTTTTTACAAGTAACCGACTTCAGTTTTCAAGTATTTATAGAGCTACCGAACTAATTATCTTAGAACAAAAACCCTAAACCCTATATTTATTTCTCCAATTTCTCGTTTCTCATTTAGAAAACTGCCTACGAATACAATATCAAGCAAGCAAAAGATTTCAAAAAAAAAAAAAGGGGCCTCATATTGCAAGTATAGATTCTCAGAACTGTAAAACTTCGAATAAACAGTATAATCATCAGGAGCCTTAGAAATTCGTAAGATTGCATATGGGTAGCATGTAGAAAGAGTAAAACCCGTAAATCCGTTTGAACAACGTATTGTAATGTAGTTATGTTACGGCGATAAAGGTTTGGAGGTAAAACGAAACTGAGATCGGAGAACCTGTAAAGGGTTGCATTCGAGGGATCTGCTTTAATGGCCTGAGTATAAAGAGCGGCGGCTTTGAGATAATTGCCAGCTTTGAAGAGCTCGTTGCCCTGATCCTTTAGGGTTTT